GAATGTTATATACTGCATTATCTTTGGTATCTTTATTATTAAAACGTCCAAAGGAAGTATAAAATTGAAAGCACATTTTACAAGAAAAACATCATCAAACCAGGCGGGAAAAAAACCAAAGTTAAAAGAAAAAACAAGATCAATGGAAGACAAATTATTCAGTAACCTGATGAGATAAGGACAGGACTATTACGGAATTTTTCGATTTTACCAAGATAGATGTCAAATTTGTTATTGTTTCTAAGGGATATACCATGAGAACACGGATGGATTGGAAACCACCACTTGAACTGGTCAGACTTTTATGCTTTACTGTGTATTACACTTCTCAATCTTGTCCATCTTGTCGTTTGGTAACACTAAGAATTGGCGAATTGGTGTTCTTGGTTTGAAGTGAAGTTTTATACCCTAGGAGCCCAAAACACGGCGTAGTCCTTCGGAACATCCCGTTTACACAAGGCAGAACAATAGAACCTTTATTGATAAAATGGAGCAGATGGATTTTTGTAGGTTGTGGGGGCGAAGGGATGGGATTGCGTGCATTGCAAAATAGCAAAGTGAGGTTTATACCCAACACACTGAGGTCTGACCATATCTTTTCAAGTTCCACGATTTATATCTGTCGGATTCAATTTTTGATAACTTATTTTTAAAAATGGAGAAAAAAAGAAAATTGTATCAGAATTTAAGAGATATTTCTGGCGATCTGAGGTGCCATAATCATAATTTATTTTGGGTGGACCTTCTATCCGTGAAAGTCTCTCTCTGGAGATCGTCATATACGACAAAAAAAAATAATTTCACAAATCAAATCAAATGACTTCATAATCATGGGAAAACGATAAAATCCTGTTTACTACATTAGTAAAAACGTAGTAGTGAAAACGATTTTATCCTTCCTTTATGATTATGACGTCATTTGATTTGATTTGTTAATTTTTTTTATCGTATACACAATAAATCGTTATCGAATCGTGCTAGTGTGAAAACTTCTCCTATTTCTTTCATTTTCTATATGAACAATTGCTTTTTAGCTTTTTATCGTTGATCGTTATCGTCATAGTGTGTATATGTAGTCCGGCAGCTTAGCAGATGGATGTGGACGTCCCGGACAAAAGTACCAATTCTTTTTTACATGCTTCTTATGGTCATAGCATTCAATTTTTGGTAGGAACCACCTCATCCGAGGTCATTATGGCGGCCATCTTGGATTTCAAAATGGCCGCCTAATAAAACCTATGTTTATCTATATCTTCGCTTCTAAACCACTTGGAATTATAATTCTAATGTCAGAAACTATTTTTATATGGTCAAGGAAAACCGTCATACCATTTTTGACCTGGTATTGCCACAAATACTGTAGGTCATTTAAGGTCATTTAAGGTCAAATATTGTATGGTATCTTAAAATTACATAATTGTCATATTTTACATTAGAACCATACCCTGACTTTCAGAATTCAAAATCTTTACTATGAACTATAATATTTCATTCGAGGTCATTTTGGCGGCCATCTTGAATTTCAAAATTGCTGCCACGCAAATCCTATATTTATCAATATATCGGTTTTTAAACCACTTTAATGAGAATTATGATATCTAAAATTATATTTCATGGTCAAGGATTTATAACACTTGTGACATGGTCAGATGGTCATTAAGATCATAAAAGGTCATTCAATGTATATACCGTACCATTACCATTTTTTACCTGGTCAGATTGCCACAAATAGTTCATTCAAGGTCAAATATTGTATGGTATTTAAAAAATTACATAACTCATGTATTACATTAGAACATTAGAATCATATTCATACTCCCAGAATTCAAATGTTTTACTATGAAATATATATATATATATATATATATATA